GTGTTAGCAGAGTAAGCAGCATTACCAGTGTTACCAGTATTAACAGTGTTAGCAGTGTTAACAGCGTTAGCAGTGTTAGTGACATTGGCAGAATTAGCAGTGTTAGCTTTTGTCTCTGGAGGTTGACATCACAACAAAAGCTGCACATCAACAGTAAAGGTTACGCCCTATTCTTTAATACTTAAAGATAAACTGTAACATTTAGCCGCAATTAAGATAACATTTTTACATTTGGGATTTAGTGAAAATGAACAAAACATAAGAACAGTGAGCTAAATAACAATAAAATTATAGTGGACTTTCAAACTAGGATTTTAAACGTGTTGTTGACATTTTTAAACTTTAGATTTTCCACTTGGAGCCAAATATTGAAACAGTTTATAAAAAACTCTTTTTGGATAATTTGTGACGCTGAACCACTGCTTCTCTTTACTTCTGAGAAATTCAGCCTCAAAAATGATGTTTTAGTTTGTTTAAACAGAGGAAATAAAATATGATAACAATGAGCTCCTGAGGGGGAGGTCAGTGAGGATGTAGGTTTTGACAAATATCACACACACACACACGTTTGTTTTTATATCCCTGTGGGGACCGTGGATTCACTTCCATTCATTTTCTGGTAATTGTATATCCTAACCCTGACAACTTGCCCTAAAATTAACCCCACAGGTACCTGACACTAAAACTAACCTAAACTCAATTCACACTTTGGTCCTAAATCTAACCCCCCACCTGAAATTAGCATCCATACCCATGGGGACCGGGCTGTGGTTCCCACAAGACTGCCACATTTTGGAAAATGGTTCCCACGATGTAGCAAAAACATGCCCACCCACCCACTCACACACAAACACACACACTCTGGTCTCAGAGACTCATTCTCCAGAGGACAATGCCTTCAGGGACCAGCTGCTCAGTCAAATGATCCAGCAGAGGACCGGCTGTGCATCATATGACTCGTCCTCAGGGACTTTTCACTGTTTCTGACTCTCTGGACTCCGAGGCCAACCGAACACACAGCTGTCAGACACGCAGCTGTCAGACACGCAGCTGTCAGACACGCAGCTGTCAGACACGCAGCTGTCAGACACGCAGCTGTTAGACACGCAGCTGTCAGACACGCAGCTCTCAGACACGCAGCTCTCAGACACGCAGCTGTCAGACACGCAGCTGTCAGACACGCAGCTGTCAGATACGCAGCTGTCAGACACGCAGCTGTCAGACACTCAGCTGTCAGACACGCAACTGTCAGACACGCAGCTCTCAGACACGCAGCTCTCAGACACGCAGCTCTCAGACACGCAGCTCTCAGACACGCAGCTGTCAGACACGCAGCTCTCAGACACGCAGCTCTCAGACACGCAGCTCTCAGACACGCAGCTGTCAGACACGCAGCTGTCAGACACGCAGCTGTCAGACACTCAGCTCTCAGACACGCAGCTCTCAGACACGCAGCTCTCAGACACGCAGCTGTCAGACACTCAGCTCTCAGACACGCAGCTCTCAGACACGCAGCTCTCAGACACGCAGCTCTCAGACACGCAGCTCTCAGACACGCAGCTCTCAGAAACGCAGCTCTCAGACACACAGCTCTCAGACACACAGCTCTCAGACACACAGCTGTCAGACACACAGCTGTCAGACACACAGCTGTCAGACACTCAGCTGTCAGACACAAAGCTGTCAGACACACAGCTGTCAGACACACAGCTGTCAGACACACAGCTGTCAGACACACAGCTGTCAGACACGCAGCTGTCAGACACGCAGCTGTCAGACACGCAGCTGTCAGACACGCAGCTGTCAGACACGCAGCTCTCAGACACGCAGCTGTCAGACACGCAGCTGTCAGACACGCAGCTCTCAGGCACGCAGCTGTTAGACACGCAGCTCTCAGACACGCAGCTGTCAGACACGCAGCTGTTAGACACGCAGCTGTCAGACACGCAGCCCTCAGACACGCAGCTCTCAGACACGCAGCTGTCAGACACGCAGCTGTCAGACACTCAGCTGTCAGACACGCAGCTGTCAGACACGCAGCTGTCAGACACGCAGCTGTCAGACACTCAGCTCTCAGACACGCAGCTGTTAGACACGCAGCTGTCAGACACGCAGCCCTCAGACACGCAGCTGTCAGACACGCAGCCCTCAGACACGCAGCTCTCAGACACGCAGCTCTCAGACACGCAGCTGTCAGACACGCAGCTGTCAGACACACAGCTGTCAGACACACAGCTCTCAGACACGCAGCTCTCAGACACGCAGCTCTCAGACACACAGCTCTCAGACACGCAGCTCTCAGACACGCAGCTCTCAGACACACAGCTCTCAGGCACGCAGCTCTCAGACACACAGCTCTCAGGCACGCAGCTCTCAGACACGCAGCTCTCAGACACGCAGCTGTTAGACACACAGCTGTTAGACACGCAGCTGTCAGACATGCAGCTCTCAGACACGCAGCTGTCAGACACGCAGCTCTCAGACACGCAGCTGTCAGACATGCAGCTCTCAGTCGTCTAATCTGTGGACCTGCTGTCGGCAGCGGTTCGTGTGAACACAGAGCGCTCACGGCAGTTGTGTTGCTTCTCTAACACGTTAAGAGTCATGAGATGGAAAACATCGACTGTCACGTGACGGCGGCGGTGGCGAGGGACGACCCACCTTGGTGATGGGAGCTTCTATGGTCATGGAGTGGATCCGGGCCATGGAGGAGTGTCTTCTCTGGGAGCTCCCTGTCAGAAAGAAGCTCAGATTAGGAGTGTTGTGTTGTGTTTTGTTGAAGCACACGGCTCCACGTCCCTGCAGTCTCACCATCGCTCCCCCGAGACGTGGTGGACCTGACGTCCAGCGAGCCTTTCCTCCGGTCTTTGTGCTTACTGGACTGGATATCTGAGAGGAACAAACACAATCACATTACAACAGATTAAACATTTAGATCTTTAACMTCACAAATAAGGATGAAGACCTGCTGTAAGTCAGCAACAAGTCCAACGGTTCAGGAGATGTTTTGCTAACAGACACATGGTTATAGGATGGCCCGCCTGTCACTCTGACCTGAACAATAATTCTGTCCGGCTGCTTTAACGTGCCTGTGACGTGCCTGTCCTTCCAATACAAAGTCAAAGAAAATATCTTCATATTTTGGAAAATTGGCATAAAACGTGATTTAACCCATTTTATCACGTAACTGGCCTATTTTCTTTTGAATTTGGTTCAGCTAAAGTGAAACAGGAAGTGACATCAAAGGGGAATTCTTTCAGAAAGAAAACTCTGGTTTTGTTTATTAAAAAATATTATTTGAACTCTGACTTTTCTTCATCTCTCTCTTATAGGGACTAAAATTATCTAAAGAAACATCAGAAWCGTCSCTGCTGTCTGTTGTTAGCCATTGTAGCAAAGCTCTGTTTACACCCAGACACTCCCCTCTGACATCACTTCCTGTTACTTCACATGCAAATATCTCAACAACTGTTCATCTAAGTGAGGTGAAATAGCTTTTGCAATATTTTATCGATGTCATCTTTGCAGAAGTGCAATCACATTTATCACAGATAATTGATGCCACAGGCCCTTTAAAGCCAGTTGTCCTAACTCCAGGTCGGCTCAGGAAACTTTCTTTGTTTCTTTGTCTCAGCAGGCAGACGGCTCGGATTCAGACGTCCTGCAGGGTTTCACCTCAGAGTGACTAAAACATACAAATTTATTGTTTTTACATCAGTTCTAGCTGCAAAAATAAAAGCCCACATTAAGTTTCTGGCTCTGAGCCGAGGCGTTCAGGAGCGTTTGAAACGTTCGGCGCTGAAACGTCCTGTAAAGTTTTCAAACCGCAGGCGGAACTCGTGACGGAGATCTGATCTGTGTTTGGTTTTAACACGTCAGAGGTCGAGCTGCTGCAGATCATCTGCAGAGGCGGCTTCGCTTCGTTCCACCGCACCGAGAGCAGGAAGAGGCCGCTCAGACTCAATAAAAAGGACTTTTCAAGGTTAAAAACTGAACAACCTGATAAASCTCTGCTAGACGAGGCAGAGCAGGACTCACAGTAACTCCTGCTCAGACTGAAGCCAGGAGCTTTTTCTGCACAGGAAACATTTGTTTTCATCACCCGCCATTAAAGTTTAAAGATGATGTTTCACACCCATCTGTGTTTGTTGCATTAGCAAAATATCTCTTGAACCACTGATCAGAAACACTCAGAATCTACAAACTAAAACCAACATGATTTGATTGTAACTGAAATCATTCTCCAGATATTGATCTAAAATTAGCTGAGAGTCAGRTTAACCTCCGTCAGGTGTTACAAACACTTCAGTCATTTAGTTATTCAAAAGGACAATGAACATTAATCTGAATATAAATGCTGTGGAATTAGCACAACAGCTAAATTTCATTTGCTGTCCTGAGCAGATAAATGTTTATAAAACAAACACACAAAACAGTCTGTGACGACAGGGTACACAGGTTAATTCTTTTATGAATGAATGATTTTCTTTCAGCCAAACGTTGAGTTTCTTTAACCGTCTCAGTCTGATGTTTGCTGGTCGAGTTTCTCTTCTGTCAGCAGGTTGAGATCTACTCATTCTGGACCTGTTCTTATGAAMAAATCAGCTTAAAGTTGGAGGAGCATKATCACTGAATCTTTGTACTTARTAATGATTTTACAGCGGTGAACATGAGATGGTTGTCTGTCTAAAGCAGGGCTTTTCAACTGGTGGCCCGCGGGCCACATCTGGCCCTCGAGTGTCCAAAGATCGGCCCGGCAATTAGTTCGTTTATCTCTTCAACCCAAAGCCCTGGTTTTCTACTTTAATTACTCTAAGTTCTTTTAGTTCAACGTAGACATGTTTGGTATCTACAGAAACGTCAGAATCTTGGCTACAAGCTGGTAAAAACCATTTCTATGCACGTCCAAGACAGTTTAAACTACAAGCAGTTGAAGATAAAACTATGAAAGTGAAAATAAAACTGGACAAGTCCGAGATGTTAAAATATTATGTGTCAAATATGACGCAGAATGTGTTATTTTTGTTTTGATATTGTTGAATTAGGACTACTTTTATGGGGTTCTGTATGTTGTATTCATGATTAAATGCAGCAAAATAAACTATTTCAAAGGTAACAGATCTTTGTAATATTTGGTTTTTAATTACATAACTTTAACTGCTGGATGTTCGGCTCCTCAGCTGTTGACCTGCAGTAACTGTGGCTCCCGGAGTGATTTAGTTGAATAATCCTGATTTAACATTTTAATTGTCTCTTTTGCAGAGACTTGATGGTTTGAACATGTTTGCTGTTGGATGGGACCAGGTAATAAGATAAGATGTGACAACAAGTCATTGCAGCATTTAGATGTTAGCTGCCTGTGCTGAGAAAAGGTCTAATATGACAAAAATTTGCAGAGTAGAATTTTATTACATTAGTAGTTTTCTTAAAATGTTGCTTAAAAGTAAGATTTGTGTCAAACAGAGCACCGAGGTGCTTGAACTGATCCACGTCAAGCCGTCTGCTTTCTGGCATGAAAAAAAAAACATTTAAACTGGTTGTGTTAAAATCTGCTTTAAGCTAAAAAGAAATACTTGCAAATTGAACCTGGATGTAGTGATTTTCTAAAGTCGTGGACATTCTTGATATAAAATGTTAAAAACCACTAACATCACTGAGGGTTTGGATGGAATGAGG